GAGTGACTGGGAGTGAGAGCCCTCTTATCAAAATCTCTCCCCAAAACAAATTCACTGCCACTGGTCATCTGGGACTCAGCAAATCTCCATCATGATTCTAAAGCTGTAATCTTAGTGGGAGGAGGCTACCCATCTTACTGCCAAGGAGCCTTGTTGTTGTTGTTGTGTGTTGTTAAGTCAGAAGTGGGAGAAGATTGCCCACCCTTCTCTGTGGAGCAGCTGGTGGATTTGAACTGTGTGCCGTTGGGATTGTAGCACATTTTCTTACCAGTAGGCCACCCCAGTGGGTTCAGACTTTTGGAGACATGCAGTCTTTTGGTTCACAACACACCACACCGTGGTTTATGCCCCAGAGGCTTATGGTAAAGATTTTATTGAAGATTCCACATGAAGCAAAGCCCCTGGCAAGACCCTCTTTGATCTGTATGCACAATGTACCTAACAGTACATACACATCTTGGAAGTGGGTGAACAATTAAGACCTTGGTTCCAAAGACCAACTTGGTTGTTCTCGAGAACAGACCTGTAAGTTGTCTTGGCGACTCACGGTATGTTCAGTTCTCTTCTCCAGCACCACACCTCAAAGACATTGATTCTTTTTCTGTCATTGGGCAACCACTATGGATGACTTAGGGTCACTATGGGTCACAGTCAAACTGATGTCACCGAACAGTAACAGCATGTCTCACATACTTTGGGCATGTTGTCAGGGGCGCCAGTCATGTTGTCAGGGGCGCCAGTCCTTGGAGGACATCAGGCTTGGAAGGGTGGAGGGTCGGGGCAGGGGAGGAAGACCCCACATGAGATGAATTGACACAGTAGCTGTAGCAATGGGGTGTAGGAGTTGGTTCAGGATAGTGCAGGGTTCAGAGCTATTGTTCATAGAGTGCCTCAGTCGTAGTCCACTCCAGGGCCCATTACAACAACCTGACCCAACAGAGGAAGCTCTCAAAGACTCTACCATGTGGGATGGTGAGAGTCGGTGAAGGTCTCTGGTTGCGGCGGAACGCGGGGGCGGCGGAACCCGGGGGCGGCGGAACCCGGGGGCGGCGGAACGCGGGGGCGGCGGACGCGGTTTCCCTGAACGTGCGGGGAGCGCTGAGCGAGGACACCGGAAGGCAGGGCGCGAGCAGGAGCGGCCTCGGTGAGTGCGGCGGCCCCGGGCCGGCCGCGGGC